AAAATATCCAACAGAGTGGCTTAAGAGTGCTTGCCTAGCAAGTGTGAGGCTCTGAGTTCAAATCCCAGTACCCAAAAAAGGTGGTTCTTGAAAATAATAAAATCAATAAGCCCTACTAAGACTATAATCAAAGGAAGGAGAATAAGAACTTCATCTTTTTTGGATTGAAAGAGAGGATATTAATACAGACTTTCAACCTAGTAATAGGATAAAGAAGGAATACTGTGAATAACCTTAACCCAATATACTCAGCACTGTGGGTGAAATAAATTGTTTTGTCCAATTGTTAATTGTGTGTAGAGAGTTACAATTTATTTATTAAAATATCTTGGACTGTACAACCTTGCCAGATAAAATAGAATTTTATTTATTTATTTATATTGTACTGGGGGTAACTGTGGGATTTATTAAAATTCTTATAATATATCAAATATATCATAGTTGAATTTACCCCCACCACCATTCTCCTTTATTCTCTCCTCTCCCCATTCCTGGAATAGTTTCTACAGTTCTCATTTTTCCACTTACATACATGTGTACACAGTATTTGTACTATATTCACCCTCGTACACCCTTTCCCCACATTCTCCCCCTCCCACAACCCCCCAGACAGGATCTGACCCTCCTGTTCTCTGATTTTGTAAAAACAAAAAGATTTTATTTTTGTTTGTTTAAGATAGCTATACAGGGAGTTTCCTTGTGACATTTCTACATATATATGTATTGTAACCTGAATTGGTTTATCTCCTCCATTTTTCTCCTTTCTACCTTAGTCTCCTTCTAATGGTGATTTCAACAGGTTTAAAAATTCTATGGTTATTCTCGTATAGGAAGTACATCAACCATATTTACCTTCTTCTTTTACTCTCTCTTTTTTGTATGTGACCTCCTTAGTGTGACCTGTTTTTCATAATACTGCTTGTATTTGTATTAGGTCTGTATTCCACATATGAGAGAAAACATGCAGCCTTTGGCTTTCTGAACCTGGCTAACTTCACTTAAGATAATTTCTCTCAGTTTCCATCATTTACCACACATGCAAAGCGACACCAAGCTCCTTCAAATCCTCTCTCCCTTCTACGACTGAACTAAATTCAAATTGCTAACTCTACTAACCAACACTACAAACTAGGCATTCTCCTTAAACAAAAAAAGTCTTCATCACTCCCTATTTTTCTAAATCTGGTGCCCTTCTCATACTCTAAATCTGGCTCACTCACAAATACCGAAACCAAAAAAAACACACACAACCTTCTTCTTTTACTCCTCTCTTTTTCTGTGATGTGACCTCCTTAGTGTGACCTGTTTTTCTAATACTCAGCTTGATATTGAGTATTAGGTCTTGTCTTCCCCTGAAGAAGAACACATGCAGCCACTTTAGACTTTCACTGAACCTGGGCTAACTTCACCTTAAGAACATAATGGTTCTCCAGTTCCATCCATTTACCTGCAAAGGACAAAGTTTCATTCTTCTTTATGACTGAATAAAATTCCATTGTATATATATAACACATAAAATAGGATTTTTAAACAAAAAAAGTTTCATTACTTATTTTCTAATCTGGCTGCCTTTTATTTCCTGGCTCTACCTAGCCCCACCCACTTACTGCACTGGGGAGGTCCTCCCATGCAATGTTGATTAGAAACCTTGAGAGCAGACATTCTTGCCTTGTTTATCTTAGAGGGAAATCTCCCAGGATTTTGCCATTAAATGTGATTTTAGCTTAAGTTTTTTTTTAATACTCTTTAAAACTTTAAGGAAGTCCCCTTCTACTCTTAATACACTTGAGTTTTTTTTTTTTTTTAAATCATTATCAGGTGTTGGGTTTTGTCAAATAGTTTTCCTTTTTCTGTTGAGGTGACCATGTTTTTTTCTTGCTTAGTTTGTTATATTGGAAGATTTTCTTCAATGAAAATCACTTTTGTATTCCTGGAATAAACCTTGGTTGATCATGATCTCTCTGTATACATATATATAGTAGTACATATGTATGTGTAGAGAGGAGAGAGAGATAAGAGATATGTATTTGGCTTGCTAAAATTTTGTTAACATATTTTGCATCTATGTTCATGAGGAATACTGGGCTGTAGTTTCTTTACATTATCTTTGCCTGGCTTTGATGTTAGGATAGTAATGGACTTATTAAATGACTTATCTTCTGTTTTTGGGAAGTCTGTATCATATTGGTATTATTTCTTCTTAACATATTTGGTAGAATTCACCAAAGCAAAGTCTTCTGAGCCTAGAGTTATTCTAATTGGGAGGATTTTAACTACAAATTCAGTACTTCTGGTATCTGTATCTTTTTAAGTGAATCTCACAAGTCAAAATGAAATGTTCATTTCATTTAAATTTTCAAATTTATTAAATCATTCAAAAGTATTTCCTTACTGTCCTTTAAATATCTGTAGAACCTGTAGTGAGATATCTTTCTTTCTTGATACTGATGATTTGAGTCTTCTTTTTTATGCCTGATCAGCATATAATTTTTCTGATCTTCTCAAATAGTTAGCTTGTGTTTTCATTGGTGTATTTTTCTGTTTTCTACTTAAATTTTTTTTGTCTCTGGTCTGTATTATTTCCTCTCTAATTCTTACCTGAGGTTTAAGTGGCTTCTCTTTCTCTAATTTCTTGAAGATGTATGTAGGAGAAGATGTATGTAGGGGAGGTCACTGATCTGAGATCGTTTCTTCCTCTAATATGTGTGTAGTATTAAAAATTAGCCTCCAAGTGCTGCTTAAGGGTATCCCACAGATTTTTAAAATGTTGTGAATTATTCAGTTCAAAAGACTTTCTAGTTTCTCTTTGATATTTTCTTTGGTTTCCTAATATTTCTAGTTTTCCATGTATACATTCCTATTGATTTCTAATTCAATTCCATTGTCAGAGAATATAAAGGAATATACTTTATATGATTTGAATCTTTTTAAAATTTATTGAGATTTACAGTGCAGATTCTAGTCTAGGTGTTTCATTTATGCTTGAAAAGGAAGAATACTCTGATGCTGTACCAAGGAGTTCCTGAAAATGTCAATTAGCACAAATTAAGTGACTTGTGGGGTTTTGTTGTAGAGATGAGGTCTTGTTATGTTGTCCATGTGGCCTTAAACTCCTGGTTTCAAGCCATCCTCCTGAGTAGCTGGGATTACTGGTATATGCCACCACATCCAGCTGATAATGTTGTTTAAATATATTTATCCTTTCTAAATGTCAATCTACGTTTCTTGCAATTATTGAGGTTAATGAAACCTCCAACAATTATATTTTGTTTCTTTCAGTTTTATCAGCTCTTGGTTCATGTTTTCAAACTGTTATTATAGGATTAAACATTTAAGGTGATTGAGTCTTGTGTCATTATGAAATACAGGTAATATCCTTTGCTGTGAAATCTGTTTCATATTAATATAGCCATTCCAATAACTTGACTAGTGTTACCACAAGTTTTTCCTATTTTTTTAACATAGTTGAGTCATATTTAATGCAGGTTTCTTTTAGGCAGTATATAACTGAATTTTGATTTCTATCTAAATTGAGAATTTTATTAATTTAATGAAGTGTTTAATTCATTTAATATGATTTTTATACTCAAAGGTTCAAATCTACCATCTTGCTATTTGTTTTCTTTTTGTTCCATCTGCTGTACATTTTTCCTTTATTCTACCATTGTTTTTTCACAGTGGAATCTTCTGTTCCATTTTATCTCCATTAGTAGTTGTACTTCTTTAAAAATTGTAGTGATTGTTTTAGTATGTAGGATGTACATCTATATTAGTTTCCTGTGGCGATCTACTATAATAATGTTCCATGAACTGGGTGTCCTAAAACAAATTTGGGCTGGTGGAATGGCTCAAGTGGTAGACTGCCTGCTTAGCAAGTGTGAAGCCCTGAATTCAAACCCTAGTATCACACCGCAAAAAATAAAAAAACCCCTAAAAACCAAACATATTCCCCCACTATTATGGAGGCTAAGTCTGAAATCAATGTATTGGCACATTTGATTTCTACTGGAAACCCTGAAGGAGACTGTTCCATCATTCCGTTCCAGCATCTGTTGGGTGCTGGCAGTCCCTGGGGTCTCTTGACTTGTAGATACATCATTCCAATCTCAGCTTCTGTATTTACATGGTGATTCCCTTTGTCTTTGGAGTTTTATGTGGCCACATTGCCTTTATGTGTGTGCCCAAATCTCCCTTTTTGAAAGAACATTAGTTATTGGATAAAAGTTCACCATGATCTAATATACATCATCTTGATTATACTTGCAGAGACCTTATTTCCAATTAAAGACACATTGACAGGAACTGGGATAGGACTTGAATATATATTTTGAGGAGGAATACTTCAACTGAAAACAACATCATTAGCCTATCACAATCTATCCTCAAATATTATTATTCAACTTTATATGTAGTATACAAATCTTACATTATGCTTTTATTTATTTCCTCTTGGTCTTTATGTTTGCTTATATGTTTGTTTAAATTATACAATACATAGTTATTTTCTTTTCAATAGTCACTTGTTTTAAGAAATTTTTAAAAATAAGAAAACGTATTTTACTGACATATTTTCCACTCTTCTTCTTTTCCTAAATCCATTTTCCATCTGGTATCATTTTCCTTCTACCCAAACTTCCTTAAACATTAATTAGAATACAGTTTTTGAGTAATGAATTTGTTCACATTTTGTAAGTCTAAAAAGTCTTTAAGGTTTTTGGTACTGTGGTAAAAAGTACATTACATTAGCTTATTATCTTAAATATTTTTAAGTGTACACTTCAGAAATGTTAAGTATATTCACATTGTTAAACAACATATCTCTAATAAGGAAAAGGTGGAGGAGGGTGAGTACGGTGGAAATATTGTGTACTCATGTATGAAAATGAGAACTGTTGAAACTATCTCATGGATGGGGGGATAAAGGAGAATGATGGAGGGGGTGAATTTAAAAATGATATATTGTAAGAACTTTTGTAAATGTCACAATGTACCCCTAGTACAACAATATTATAATAAAAAAGAAAAAAAAACCTATCTCTAGAACCTCATTTTGAAAAAATGGAATTGTATGTCCATTAAATAACAATGCCTTCTCCCAATTCCCCTACCTCTTGGCCATCACCTTTTTGCTTTCTATGTCTTTGACTATTTTAGATACCACCAGTGGATCATACAGTATCATTTTGTGACTGCCTATTTCACTTTACTTAGCATAATGTCCTTAAGGTTTACTCACATTGTAGCACATGGCAAGATTCCCCTTTTTTCAGGACTGCATAATATTTCATTGTGTGTATAATACAATTTTTTTATCCACTCATCTGTTGAAGGATATTTTGGTTGTCTCTATCTGTTGGTTATTGTGACTAATGCTGTAATGAACGTGGTGTGCCAATGTCTTTTAAGATTGTGCTTTGAATTCTTTTGGATATATATCCAGAAGTGAGATTGCTGGAGTATATGGCATTTCTATTTTTAATTTTTTGCGTAAACACCATACTGATTTCCATAACGGTTGTACCATTTTATATTCCTTTAAACAATATACAAGGGTTCCAACTTGTTTGCATCCTCAACATTTGTCATTTTCTGTTCATAGTAGTCATCCAAGTGGATGTGAAGTAATAACTCATCATAGTTTTCATTTGCATTTCCCTAATGATCTGATGTCAGGCATTTTTTCATGTGATTATTGGCCATTTGTGTATCTTCTTTGGAGAAATGTCTATTCAAATCATTTGCCCATTTTAAGTCAGGTTGTTTTTATTAGAAATTTCTCATATTCTTTGGATATTAACTGCTTTTCAGATACATGATTTGCAATTGTTTTTCACCATTCTGTAGGTTGCTTTTTAATTTTGATACATAGAGAGTTTTAAGTTTGAGGCAGTCCCATTTGTTTATTTCTTATTTTGCTATCTGTGCTTGGGTGTCATATCCAAGGAATCACCCCTAAATCCAGTGTCCTGAAGATTTTCCCTTATGTTTCTTCTAGTTTTGCAGTTTCAGTTCTTACATCTTTAATCCATTTTGAGTTGACGTTTTATGTTTTTGGTAGTACTGGGATTTGAACTCAGGGCCTCACGCCTGCTAAGCAGGCACTTTACCACTACAGCCACTCTGCCAGCCCTTGTGTTGACTTTTGAATTAAGGGAAGGGTTTGGCTTTATTCTTTCATATGTGAAGATTGTTTTCATTTCTTGAAGAGACTGTCCTTTTTCCATTTGTAGTTTTAACACCTAGGTTGAAAATCATTTGGCCATAAATGCAAGGATTTAGTTCTGAGATTACTAGTCCATTGCTTTTACCTGTATCTGTTTTATGCCTATATGACAGCATTTTGATGACTGTTGCTCTGCAGTATGTTTATTTCAGTTTGCACACAAAATTATAAATATTTATGGGGTATCATGTGATGCTTTGATAGTTGCATACATTGTGTAATGTTCAAATCTAAGTATATATCCTCAAATATTGATCATTTCCTTGTGGTGAAAACATTCAAAATTTTTTCTTCACACTTTTTTTTACACTTGATCTTAGCCAAAAGGCTGAGATGTGATCACACTTTTTTTTAATATACAATACATTATCATTATCTACAGTCATCCTACTATGCTAAAGAATTGTGGTTTAATTAGTTTTACCTTTGGGCTCAGGTCCAGAAAACCAAGGTCCCAAATTTCTCCTTTTAAGCAAGTACTAGTTTCCAAAGCCAAGGGAACATATTGATTGCCTTGCCAGTTTTTTTGATTGTAGAAAAGACAATTTGAAGTCACTGAGTAAGGTATAAATTCATTCAGCTTTCAGATGGGAGGCAAACAAAGGTCAACCTTGCTGTTTCCTATCAAAATGAATATGGTTAAGACAAGGAGAATAAGCAGTGGGATTTTATTCTGTAACTTATTTTTCTTGTAAGTGTTCATTCCCTGAATTCAGATGAATGTGTTGCTCAAAAATGCCTCAGTAGACTCTACAGAAGCAAGTTGTGAACTCTTTCTTTAGACTTAAGCGTTCTTGAGTGCAGGGACTGAATCATTACACTTTTGGTGCTTATCTCAAGGCATGATAAACAGATATGCCATACATGTTCTTTAAACTGCACAGGGAAGACAATTTGTAAATGTTAAGAAACTTGTTAGTATACAGGAATTGGAATTAAGAGTAGAGGTATGTTATTCCCATACTTTGCTTTCTCATGAACTTCTAATTCTTGAGTTACTTTTTCCCATAACTTTTCCTTTGGCTTAAGTTATTAACAGCTACACCCTTATTACCCTCAAATTATGTGAATCTCTCAAATTCTCTTTATTATGTGTTCCTATTATTCTTCTAATTAAGAATTTTGTTCAACTAAGGACAATCATTTTTTTTCCCTCTTCCTTTCCCTTTCATTTCTTTCCTTCCTTTCCCTCTTCTCTCTCTTCCCCTGCCTGCCAAGTAGCTGGGATTACAGGCATACATCATTGCGCCTTGGACCAATTCTTGGACCATTTCTTATTACATGCTGCACAGTGCCTGAGATATAGCAGGTACTCAATAAATGTTTCATGAATGAATGTATGACTGCATAGATCAGGTCTGAGGCCCCAAATCTATTTCCACATATAAAAAGGAAAGAAAGATGAAATTTATATTCGTTTTACATTTACATTTATTAAATTACTAAATATTTATTGAGTATCTGATATGTAACAGGCAAAAGGATCAGAAATAGTGTTATTTATCACCCTTTTGGCAATGCCTGAGTCCTCATCATGAAAACTCCATTCTGCTGAATTAGCCTCCACTCATTCTTTGGTTAATCTTCAGGGACAGCTTTCTCAAGTGCTCTTTCATATATGGCATATTGCCGTAGACCATTAAATACTCCATAACTTATCTGAAAGAGTAGGGGGACTGCCATTGCTTTCATCTCTGTCTGAGAAAGCAGCAACCAATGAAGTAAAACTCTTCCTTTTGGTGGCAGTGGAACAGTATGATACCTAAAAGTGAAAAGAACTAATCAGGTCTCCCAGATATTAGTCTATCAAAAGTCCACTGATTTCTCCTAAACTGATAATTTCTATTATAGGTCTACAAGGCAGAGAGAGAGAGAAAAAAAAAAAAAAAAGAAATGTTAGGTATTTGGGATACTAAAATACTATGTTTCATTAGAATGTATCCTTAATACATAAAAAATATGAAGAGTTTGCTGACCAAAAAATAGAAGGAAGGAAAGGAATGAATAGACTTACTTGACTGCCAGACGTCCATTTTTAGAAAAAGCCAAAGCACTGGGATATAAAACACCACATGCTACACCAACCAGTGAACTTCTCAGAACACAATTTTCCTTGCTTATATTATCTAAAAAAAAAAAGTAAATTTGGTTTTCCTTTAAAATTCAGGATAAGAACTATTAAGACAGTGTTTATCACTAAGAGTAGTTACTTGTACAGTCCTCAATTACAGTGAAAAAGTAGAAAGAATATTTGACATTCCAAGCCTATGGCACATAATAGAGATAATACATCTTGTTTTAAAAATGCTTTTATTATATTTTAGCAGATGGAGGGTTACTACTTATGTATGTGCTGGTTGTTGAAGCAATTTCATACTAAGAACACTAAACTAGCAGATCACATTAGCATATGTTAATGAGTAACCTTATTTAGACATAACCACATTATATATTAATGAAGTTCAATGTACCTGAATACAAAGCATCAGTTACAAAGAGCTTATAAGTAACTACGGAAGACAAAAATGGAAGTGTAGTCAATGATGCATATGTCTTCAAAGCATCATATTTAACCTTGAAGCAGTATCTGAAAATGAAGTTTGCTGTTATTCCAGACAAGGCAGCTGTTGTTCCAAGGAGCAGTGTTCCATATATATTTGAAGTCCTAACAGAATAAAACAAAGAGAAAAATTAAGTTTAACATAATATTATTGTAGTAGATAGACCCTTTCCTTACTAGTTACTTGTTATTACTTATTTACTCAGCATAAAATATTTTTTGAGCACTTACTATGTCAGAGATATTTTCTGAGTGCCAAGCATAATGAAGTAAACAGAACAAAAAAGAAAAAAAATACCATCTATTATGGCACTTTATTCTAATGGGAGAATATAATTCTCTTTCTGAGACTAGGGTAGTTCTAAAATGGAGCTCTTTTGTGGCCATAAATTTTGGCCACAAATATAAATATGTTCCAATGCAGATAAATTTTATGAGATACTTTTTTTCTAAGAAAATCTTTCCTGCTATTAATTTGGTGGAGGTCATCTAGAAAAAAGCTGTTTCTATTTGGTAAGGCTGTCTAAAAAGTATTTAACTAGTCTAGATGCATTTAAAATAATTTGTCCATGATTTACAAATTTCAACCAAAGAGATCTGTTCGATTCAGTTTTACTTATGTTGACTCATACCTAAATTCAGAAAGCTCTAAAGTTTAAGATCAAGTGTCCCTTGACTTTATTCTTCGGTTCTACTAATCTGAAAGCCAAAATGGTAATGAGACTACATGTATGCCATGGCATCTGTATTCCTTTTTGCTGTATTCAGTCCTGTGGCTGAGGTAATCAATCCTAAACTGATTTTTTTTAAGTGAATTGTACCACTTGAGCTACATCTCCAGCCCTCCTAACTGATTTTAATCATAATTGCTCATCAATAAAATATAAATACCCTTCAAAATGGTTTTCTCCTAATTAGCTTTTAATTAAAAAATATTTGCTGCTCAAAGGTTTCAGCAATAATTTTGGGCATTTTTTTAAGAAGCAAAGGAAATTATCCATAATCCTAATATTTTAACAAACCAGTAATTTTAGTTGTCCATGTTTCCCTCCAGTTTTTTTGGCAACATTAGAGTTTGAAATCAGGATACTACACTTGCTACGCAGGAGCTCTACCACTTGAACCATGCTCTTTTCTCTTTAGTTATATTTTGGGTAAGGTCTTGTGTTTTTGCCTGGAGTCAGCCACAGACTATGATTCTCTTACCTATGCTTCCTGGGTAGCTGGGATTATAGTCACATATCACCATACCAAGTTTTTGATTGAGATGGGGGTCTTGCTAACTTTTTACCTGGTCTGACCTCGAGCCCCAATCTTCCATATCTCTGCCTCCAAAGTAGCTGGGATTACAGATGTGAGTAACTGTTCCTGGCCCTTCTTTTTAATTTGTTTTAATAATAAAGTTAATAGCTTCATAGATAATCCTATGAAACCTTGGTAGTACAAAAGATGTGCAAATACAGTTATTGGGTTTCAGTATGGGTATATCTCTTACTTTTCTCTTTTAAGATATTCAAAATTTTTTTCTATGATTTCGATGACCATTGGCCTTCCAAGTTTTGCATCTCTTAAAGAAGGAGTTGGTTGACCATGTGAATACACTGCCATCTTGATGTCCTGGAAAACACAAAATTCTAGAGCCATAACAGCTAATGATATTAGTATTAAATAAAACCTTACAAAAACTCTACAGATTCAGAGTAAAAAACATTTGGAGTCTAGGTACTATGGCTTTCATATATTTTAAGTATGATTAAATCAACATTTATTGAGCTCTTATTATCTGCTAGATAACAGCTTTTGATTCACACAGTAACTGAGAATTGGTAGAATAATGAGTATCTCTGCTTTTATAGAAGAGAAAACTGAAGTTCACAAAAGTCTACTTGCTACTGAGATACTGAGCTTTCACTCATTTCAGTAGTTTTCCCCTCTCCTTTTATGAGAGTAGCAACACCCTATTCTCTCTTCAGATGGGGAGGTAGAAACAATATCTGCTTCTTGACAATCACCTTTATCATCTTTCAAGGAAGCCTGAGCTCATTTTGGAGACTGTGTTCAGTGTCATAGAGAGGCAGGGAAAAACAGGAATTGCCTTGGAGAATAGAAAGAGAAAAAATAAGAGAGATAGACACTGCTCCCACCTGGAAAGAGGCAGTGGATCATGGCTACCCTGGTTTATATAAGTTATACATTCAGTTTTCCAGTAGTACCTGGAGTGGAAGCAGGGCCTTTTTCAGAAATAGCTAGGCAGTATACTAGCTAGTGCCAGGTTGGACTGGCACTGCGTTCTGGGGTTGGAGGGTTCATGTGTTCCAAGTGTGATGAACAGATAGTTGCCAACACTGAATAACCTTAAAGGTTCCTGTATTATTTTAATAGAAACTAGTGAGGTAAAGAAACGGAGTTTCAGACAGTGTTTTCTGAATGTTTTGCTCTAGGTAAGATTCTTAGGTCTTTGTAAAGTCTTAATAACAACATTCGTTAAATATTTTGGCACTCTGGCATTATTGAGCTAAAAAGTTGGGTTTAATTTCATTTAAACAAGGAAATATGGGCATTTCTGGCAAATCCAAATTTGTGGTTGCAAATATTTACATACTAGGTCAGTAAGTGGAAGGTCTACTGATGCAAAGTTCAGTGCTTTTTCTATTCTAGATTCTCTAGATTAGTTAATGAATGTATATAAAACTGCAGGACCTTCACAAATTATACCAATCTCAATTTTACCATCATTTATAGTCAAAGGCATACACCAAAACTCAAATTTCAAGATTCCTAGGCAAGATAATTATAGTAAACTAATCATAATAAACACAGAAGATAGAAAATCTCAACTGTGTGAACAAGAATCACATAGAACATGTATTTAAAACACACTCTTGAGCTCCCTCCTGAGATATTTGGATTCAATAGTAGGGTGAAGTCTAGAATCTGCATTTTATTAGAACCTAGGGATCACAAACTGTAGTCAATGGACACTCCTTTGAACATCAGTGTAATGCGCACTTGCTAAATGAGCAGTATGTATAAATCCTAATTCTAACTAATGAAAGATCAATTCACCCACAGACCATGGCATCAACATACAGGTGTGTACTCTTTGAACCTTCTTAAGGTGTCACACGCACCACTGCAGAACTGTACTCTAGCCAGTTCTTTTTCTCTAAAATGTTTTCAGGGACTACATTTAATCTTTTGCTTCTGACGTACAAGTTGAAAATGGAAGAAGGGAGATAGATAATGATAGCTATGGGAGATTCTCTACCTAATCCATCTAGTGTACTATGAAGGCAGTACCAGAACCTTACATAAACTGTTGTTCTGTGGTCATCCAATTCATTGAGGTCCTCTCTCCCCAAGAAAACCAGTGTACCCGCTCTGCTCTGTACAGGGAAAAGCAACAACGAAGAATCCCACCCAGGACTATGATTACAGGACAGTAAATACTGAAATAACGAAAGCGGAATAGCAGATAATTGAGTGCCTAGTCTTTGCAAGGCATTGTCAGAGACTCGGCTGATTTCATTACACGCTCTTTATGAAGGCAAATATAGACTAGTCACTTTCACAAGACTTCATTCTTGTGGTGCTGGGAATAGAACCCAGGATCTCCAGTATGCTAAATGCTCCACTATGAAGCTACATCCCCATCTCCAGGGAGGCCTTTTTAACAAGGACTGCAATATAAACATCTTGCTACAACCAAGTTTATCTAAAAATTAACCAGTCCAAGGTCTTTCATCTGATTACCATACGGAGCGCATTTATGTACGTTTACAGTTTTCAGGGCACTTTACGGTTGTGTTGGATTTTTAGATGTAGTGGGAAAAGTGAGGGGAGAGACGAGCAGAGGGAGAGGCTGGTTTAAACGCAGAATGAGGATGACATTAAAAAAGAAAACGAAAATTTCACGTAGCCAGGGGAAGTGATATTTAAAAGACTATCTCAGAATTTTGGCGCGGGTGGAGGGGCTAGGAGCAAGGAAGTGTTCTTAATTGAAGGAAAGGCCTGTACAAAGGTCCGGAAGTAGGAGAAAACAAGCTGCAGATAATCAGGAGTAGACTGTATCTTCTACTTTCTGCCTCATTTCATAGTACCTGGGGACTTGATTACGCCCTGCATGGACTTGGGAGCAGTCATCCATAGCTGTTTAAATCATTTACTCATACCATTTCAGGAGGCGGCCAACTCTTCGAGACTGTAGAAATTGCGGCCTTTACCAACCCGGTTTTCCGCCTACCTCGGTCCCTTCTCCATCTCCCACCGACACCACACCTGCATCCCTCAGGTCAGCCCCAGGCTTCGGCTTGAGCGCCGCCATCTTGACGCCTCACGTGACTCACGGATGGGCCGGGACGCAGAGCGCCCCGGCGGGAAGTGGGGCTGGCTGACAGCTCCCACCTCCGGACCGCAGCCGGGCCCGGCCCCACCTACTCAAAAGCCGCGCCCTCCAACCTGGCTGGGATTGGGCGCGGCGTCCAAAATTACGGTCGCTCATTGGCTCGGAGGAAATCTAGGCGCCCGTGGGCCCGCCCCTCCGTCATCTGCTCGCTGCTATTTGGCAGCCCAGCTCCCTCTTCTCCAAACCCAGGGAGAGTGGGGCGACTTTAGCGAGCAGAGGGACGGTGCTGCGCGCCCTCCTCTCCTCATCTCGGTTGGCTAGGCGCGCCACAGGCCTTCCCGGCCCTCTGACCTGGCCCAGGTGTCCAGGCTCTGGTTTCTCTGGCGCCTCTTCCTCGGGGCCTGCACTGCTCCCCTCCAGCGCCACACGGCAGCCCGGACGCGCCTGGTGTCCCCAGTGTTTAGTCCCCTCACATTCCGTCCCTCAGCCCCGCGGGGATAGGGCCCGAAGAGACACCCACCCTTCTCCTTCCCCGGAGAAGACCCCCTGTCCTCGGGTGTGCCGGGGAGGAGGCGCGGCGGGGAGGCCGGCGCGCTCGGGCTCGCCGGCTCAGCGCCCGGCGGTGTCTGAGACGGGCCACCCCGACCCTCCAGTCTCCATGTCTTAGAGCAGCCAAACCCGAGAGTTACATAATCTCCAGCGCCGCTGTTTCTCTTGCCCGAGGAAACACTTCGTCGCGGGGCGGGTGCAGGACGTTTCGGTGCTCTTCTCCGTGAGAGCGGGGTGTGGGCAGGGCTGGCCACGCAGGGAGATGTCCTCTCTGCGGAAGGACGGTGGGTAGGGCGGATGCGGACGGCCGGCCGGCCGCCGACCCTGCCCGGCCGGGGCTCGAAAACACCTGGGGATCGGCTGGCGGCGCCTCGCGGGGAGAGACGGCGGGCCGTGAATGACTCCCGCGTGAAGAGGGCGGCCTCGCCAGCTCATCCTGCATCAAGTGCCCACTGAGTAGCGCTGTCACTTTAACGTCTCCACGCCAAGGGATTGCTTTCCTTCCTTTCAAAGCGCTCGGCTAATACCCGCGAGGACCCGAGCCCCCGGGGCTTTAAGGATCGCGCCGCGGGGGCGTGGAGCGCACAGCAGGACGCACGGCAGTGACAGCAAGCTGCATCCCGTGTGACTGAGGGGGTGAGACCCGAACTTCTGCTCCGTTAGACGCAGAGGAGCCTTTCCATCTGTGCTCTGCCCCGAACTGCTCAAACTCACGCACCGTTTAAGAGACCAGACTCAAAAACGGTTGTCAAAGTCTTTGTGGGGGGGACGGGGGGAGTTTCAGTGTCTCTCCAATAACCGAGGCTCTCCATCGCCAACCAGTTCATCTTTGAATTTGATCGTGCGTAAAGTAACGACACCGCTGTCTGCATTTGGGTTGTGCCTTAATTGAGTTAGTCACTGAACTTCCCAAAATGTTGCTGCCTGAAGAGGAGTTTTAATATTATTTTCTATGCTTACGACAAGCTTTTCCTCCAAAGTACTAGTTTATAAAAATTGAAAAAACTCTAAAGTTATTTCCCCCTAAATCGTGTGAGCAGTGTGTAAAAAGTTTAATTATGGAAAACGACACTATTTTCTTTATCTGAAATAGAAGATACAGCTCTGGATATCAGCACTGAACCTGAACGGTGGTTTCAACAACTGCCTGGCTCTTGGTCTCAATCCAGCTTGAGTAAGCAGAGACCTGAAAAGAGATCTTGAATCCTGTGGGAGGAGAAAGACCCCAGAATGCCAGTCAAGAGGAAAGGTGGGCTATGAAGTTCCTATACAATATATGATATCTGATTGTTCCCTCTTCTTCTTGGTTCTGGGATTTATAATTTGAATTGTATTCCATTAGAGAGTAAAATTTTGCGTTTGGGGGAGTATTTTTGTAATATTTTTTTCAGTAATATTTTGCTACAGTAAGATGAAGAAATTAATTGTAGACATTTGTGATTTCAGCAATCAGGCTGTCTGTATCACCATTTGAAATAAGAATACATTCGCACTATAGATTTGGGATCCTCTTTCCCTTGTTTTCTGAGCTTGTTAAAGCTTAAACAGTCTTTTAAAAAAAACTTGCACAATGGAGCTCTCCCCCCATGGACTTAATATTTATTGGGTTAATTACATAATTGTAAAAGCAAAGTACTTTTGTTTGCAATGGACAAAAGTTACCTTTACATTTATCTTCTGATTTAAAAGAGATATCATATTTAGGTTTTGTCCAGTGTAAATCTTCACTTTTGTGACAAGGTGTAATTTTGGTAACTTGTGTTTTTCTAGACACATGGAAATAACATTGGCAAGTTTCCCAAATGAGGCACACACCTGTTCTTTTCTCCCTTTCAACAACTTTCATTACTTGGAATTGATGAAGATCTAGTGGGTTCCTGAAGCATAGGTCAGACCTTAGGGATTTAATTTAGTCTAGGTCTACATAGGTTAACTTTATTCCAAAGGAACCTTGTGAAACTAGTTTTTTTAAACCTGGTACTGAAATTGAGATCAATGAAAAAGAGTTTCTAGAGAGTTTTGAATCAAAATGTGTAACATTCTTGAACTCCACTATACCGGGCTAACATAGAATGAATGTCCAGTTGTGCGAATTGTTACAATATGAAACTAAAGCCTAACATGTAGATCAAAGTGCAACCTGGCTCTGTATGGTATTTAATCGTTCTGCCTGTAGATTTGGAAAACACATTGGGAAAAATTATAGTCACTGCTTTTATCCAGGCTGGGGTATGTATAGAAGGATAATGATATCTAAAACCTTTGAAACACCTAGAACTGTGCTTTTTGCATAATGGGATTTAAGCCTAGGATTGTTTTCTTCCCCCATAATACCACCGAGAGAGGTAAAGTCTTTGAGATTTTAGAGCTGCATCTGCCAGATCTGACGCAATTATTTTATCTGGAATGAGAATGGTTTTGGGACTATAGCCAATAAACAATATGGTACTTTGACTTACTTAACTCAATGTATGTTTTTACTCTATCATTTCTCTAGGCAGTCTTTTTGGACTATTTTATTATCTTGAAGTAATAAACACATCTGTTGTGTGTGTGTGTGTGTGTGTGTGTGTGTGTAAGAGAGAGAGAGAGAGGAGAGAGAGAGAGGAAATGAGAAAGGGTGTAAAGGTTTGTAACAAGAGGAGGAAGCACAATTGATGTATACGTATAACTTAGAGTGAAGTAAGGTTTCTAAAACCAATAGATGGAGTTTCTTAAAAAGTCACCACCTTTAAAAGAACAGTTATAGAATTTGCTGACACATTTCATTATCATAGAGACTTCAACTTTTACTATTTCCTTCCTTTCTTTTCTCTCCTTTGTTTCTTAACAATGAATTGACATAATCAAAAACTTACAGGAAATCAACAAGTTCTACTTAGCAAAATAAATATATGTGTATTATACAAACATAATAGTACATGCATTATATAATTCACCAAATGAACTGATCTAGAGAAGTAATTTACTTTTAGTTTTTAAAAAACTTATATTAAGATACATATTTTTGTTTATAACCAACTAGCCAAATATGTTATTGCATGTACATTGTATTTTTAAATGACTTAGCTTACTATCTCTACTATTTGTAAACTATAAGAAAAATAAATATTTTCAAGTTTTGCATAGATTTATTCTGCAGGCAGGACTGTCCTTTATTTGCAGTCTTTTTCTCTCTATATTGTTAAATGTGGTAGATATGATGGAAGAGCTAGACTTGCTGTGATTTTTAAATAATAACCATTCCCATTGAGCCAAGTGTTTATTCATGGTTCAACATATTCTTATCAACATATGAAATTTACAAGACATGTTTTCATTTGATATTTATTTTATATATTGTTGCCAAAGCTGTTAGGACATTTTCTTGTTGATAACATGCAACCATGGTGGGAAGTGGGAATGGATATGAAATCTCACTAAACTCATTTCTAGGTTCTTGACTGCTCTTGGATAAGCTGCTGTTTCTGTACCTCAAGCTTGCTCTTTTGCTTTATTTTAAATAAAAAATTCTTTTGGAAGTATTAGGCTTTACCACTTAAGCCACCCCTATAACTCTTTTTGCACTGGTTATTTTTGAGAGAGAGTCTTGCTTTTTGCCCAGGGTGGCCTGGACTGTGATCCTTTTATTTTAGGCTTCCCGCTGTAGCTGGGATGACAGGCTATGCTACCACCACTCAGCTATTTTTCCATTGAGTTAGGGTCTTACAAACTTTTTTTTTTTGGCCTAGGCTTGCCTAGAACTGCAATCCTTCCAAACTCAGCCTTCCATGTAGCTGGGATGACAGATGCATGCCACCATGCCCAGCTATTGGTTGAAATTGGGTCTCATGAAGTTTTTGCCTGGGCTGGCTTCAAACTGTGACCTTCCTGATTTTAGCTTCCCAAGTAGCTAGGATTAGAGTCATGAGTGCCCAGCTGCTCTTTTGCGTTATGGAATACTTTCTGTCTCTTCCAACCCAATCTCTTCACATTTTGACATATTCCATTGTTACAGATTCTTTCTTCTCTCTGTTAGAGATTTTTGTCTCCAACAGTTGTGTTATTCAAAGTCTATTACCTACTTATTCGTTGTTGAATATATACTTATTAACATATGAAGTTTCATAAGATAACTTTTCATTTGATGATTATTTTGTATTGATTTGCTCACGAAGGAACACTTAGGACAATCTTGCCCATATTTTAATTTGTGAAAATTTAGGGCTAATGCAAGATATGTTGCATTAGCATTCTCTGATGCAAGATCAAAATGGGGTGTCGAGGCTATGTGAATAAGACTTCTTGGCTTGAACTGATAGGATTTTTATGTTGAGTTAAGAAAAAAAAGGTTAACGATACTTGTTTCCTTCCCAGTGTTTTCAGTAGAAAGTTGCTGTTTTAAGGATAAAATATGCTTTAACAGAAATTTTTAGTACAATGCACTTTCCTTT